GGCCAGGGGACAGCCAGGAGCTAGTGCCCCTTTCGGAGGACAGCATGAAGGCTGCCTGGGGCCAAGCGAAAAACTACTGCCTGACTCTGTGGTGTGAGAACACAGTGGTGAGTGCAGTGAGCCCGAGGGCACTGCGGTCAGTTGTGGGCCACGTCCTCAGCAGCAATTCAACATCTAGTAGGCCCTCATTTAGTTCTTCTAGCCTCAATCTCAGGCGAGGAAACAGGTCCAGAGAGGTCACACTGCTGGGAAGCAGTGGCACTGGGATACAAGCCTAGTCTTTGGACTCCTGGGCCCTTTCTACCTTATGGTACTGCCTTTCCATACAGAGGACCTGCCAGGGTTGCAGCCAATAGCACTAGGAAACGACAACTTCTAACACAGCCCAGCACGGAGCCTCGCAGTTCCTAACGCTGATTCCTTAAATCCTATGACTCACATCTCTAGAAACTACATCCTTCCCTCAACATCTGTGGGACAAAAATGACCATCATGGTCTTGGCCTTGGATAGGATGGTGCTGTGCAGTGGTTCTCAAACTTCAGCATGCACCCGAATTCCCTAGAGGGCTTGTGAAAACAGATTGCTGAGCCCTATCTGATCTAACAGGCTTGGGATGGAGCTGAAAATGTGCATTTCTTCAAGGTCCCACGTTGTGAGTGCTGGGGAGAGGGTGTCGGACTCAGAGACCTAGGTTTGACTTTGCATTCTATCATTTACTGGTCACTCAACCTGTTTCTCTATCTGAAAAGAATAGTACCTATTCTACCTTTTCAGGATTACTGTAAGTTTTAATTAAGATTTTACAACTACCTGTGGTCCTGCAGACCTTCAGTTTCATTTATCCAACCGGCCAGTATTCATAGAGTACATGTTAGGTCTATGTTAGACACCGATGCCAAATCTGCCGCTGAGTTTATATCCAGGTGCTACTGACATTTCTCTGACCGAATCCTTCAGGGATGATGTCCACTGTTTACTGTTCAGGAAGTCAGGAAAACTAACAGGCCCTTTATTATTTCAGGGTGACCAAGGCTTTCCAGATGAGGCCAAGGAAAGTGAGAAACCGGATGCCAATAGCCAGACATTGGAACCTCAGCTGAAGGAAGGGAGCCAAGTGGTAGCGATCTTCAGTTATGAGGCTACCCAGCCAGAAGACCTGGAGTTCCTGGAAGGGGACATAATCCAGGTTGTGTCCATGGGTAAGTGCTGCTCCTGGATTATAGAAATTAATGTCCATGTTAGCAGAAATAAAGGGCAGAGGCAGAAAACATCACTCACCTACAAACGAAACTTGAGGCAGTGGTCTCAATCTCCTTCTTTGCTCTCAGCTGGAGAGAGCAAAACCCAGTGCTCAGCTTTTCTGTTTGCTGCCCTAATGGGCAGGGAAGCAACAAATGGCAACTTACTAATAAATGACTTCAGTACATTCACATTTAAAGATGTCTACGCTTCAGAAGCCACGGATTATCATTCCGAGTTAACAGACTGGAAGGTGGCTGGCACCATTTTGCCTTGGCACCAAGCCGTAAGATACCCATCTTCTGCATACCGTAGTTCTTTGGATGTATGTACTTTTGAAGATGAGAGTAGAAGGGGGTACATTTTGTCTTACAAGCAGCTATTCAGAATTACTCTGTGTCCCTGGTGGCTTCCCTAATTCTGCAAGGAATCAAACACATTAAAAACTGAAACAGTAAGTGTTCTTAGTGCTTCTTAAAGTGCAGTAAGCGAGGCCATTTTCCTGTACTGGTTTTAGAAATCAGTCTCTGCTTTCCCTTCACCAGTGAATGACGAGTGGCTGGAAGGGGAGTGCAAAGGGAAGTTTGGCATTTTCCCCAAGGCTTTTGTTGAAGAACGTGCAGCCACAGACCTGGACAGCACTCCCAGGGGTGTCTAGGATGCCTCACAACCTATGGAGCGGGAGGAAAAAACTACCATCGCATTTGTAAGGTTCAGGACGCCTCTGTGGTACATGGTCCAGTGTTAACTAATCTGCTTTCCCGTTAGACAATGATGTAAGAATTTAGGATTATGAACACCTTGGGGTGGGGTGGGGCGGCCGGGGGGAGGAGGGAGTGGTTGGAAGTGTCTGGAAGGGCATGAGGGGGCGTCCCAGGTGCTGTTTTTTGCTCAGAGTACGGCTACCCAGATGTTCACTTTGTGAAAAATGCACTGAGTTGCAGTTATCATCACTGCACTTCTCTGTATGTGTGATAGAAATAAAAACCCAAGACACTCAGAATGCAGGCCTAAGGCCTAACCGTAAATAACTATTCCTGTTCACCATCAGACTACTGGGGACTGACTAACCTACAGGTAATTCAGGAGGCACGCGCACAAACTTAACTTTTAAGTCTCGTTGGTAGACTGACTAAGTTTCCCATGGAATGACTAGAATTACATCCCTTCATGTTTTCTCAGAGAAACACTTAAGAGCTTAATAGGAAAATTTGCCACTGAGACTTAACTGAAGAAAAGAAGCCACGTTCAGGCAGCCAGTTGGTTAACAGTATCCTATTAGTTAACATTCCGTACAACGTTAATGTGTACGATAGAATGCTGTGGCCTTACCTTGGTTATCATGTAAACCAGTGGCCTGTTTTTCAGGGTTAACTTGAAGGATTCCATATATACTAGGCCTGGCCTTAATCCGCCCATTTCTTGTGAGTATAATTTTTTGTGTTTCTCTCCTGCCCCTTCCTGTGTCCATAATTTAATAATTTTTCAAGTGTGTAGGTGAGGTACAGACAGAATCAACACTTAGGGTGGAAGGCCCAGCAGGCTGCCACTGGACATTTTGGACACAACTTGAAGAAATGCAACCCCAAAGCTAAGAATAATTATTAATTACTGTTGCTGCCAGTCAGACATAGTGACTTCTATAGTGAATTGCCGTACTAACAGACAGACTAGGGATAAAACTGGTGGATATGTTAACTCCTTTGCATAAGTATTCTTTATTTATTAAATAAAAGAATTTGATAGTTTCTACTCATCCCTTTCCATACTAATGCATGCAGGTTTGGAATGCTACTAAAAGCAAAAGTAAGCCTGAAGCATATCCAACTTCTGACCACCTCTGCTTTCCTCTATATGACTTCTGAGTTGTTCCCAAGTCTTGATTTTAGGGTAGAAAAGAAACCATCTGTACACAGATCTGGTTGGAGAGAACATGGTTTAATTAAAGGCAAAGCTGATTTCAGCAGCTGCAGGTCTTGCACAGACAGACCTAAATAAACAAACAAAAAACCCAAAACAAACAAAACACAAAAGAAGGTTTACTACACAAAACCAGTTTCTGATAAAGATTCTCCTCTCCCCCCTCATTACTCCACACGGAGGATGATAAGGTGAGGAACCCGCCCGAGAATCAGAAAACATTCCAAACACCAAATGCTCATGCAGAAATGGGGCTGCAGAGGGGACGTGGGCGATCCTGGGAGCGACGGCGAACCTGATGAGCTGGTCTAGGGTGCAAGAATGGGTGACAGTTCACACACTGGAATGTCGCAGCTGCCTGAATGTGGGGCTCAAACACACAGAGTGGGGAAAGGCAGCAGGGAGGAGGCTTGGGAGGGAGGGACTGGAAAAGGTGGACACAGGAAGGGGCAGGAGAGAAGCACAAAGGGTTTCATATTGCCATTGGATTCGGGGGAGGGAGGGGCTTCACCCTTTCAGACCTTCTAAAAAAAAAGAAAACAAAAACCCCAAAACCATGTCAAACTGAGAGAGCAATAATGTAAGCACACGGGACTCCACCCACTCTCTCCGAACAGCCATGAGCATTACGCCCCGCCCCTTTCACTGCTGGGGCTGCCCAGACTCCAGTGAGCCGGGCTCGGGATGTGCTTTGTTCTGTAGCCACCTTCTAGCTCTCAAGTCCCACACTAACCACACACCACCCCCTCCGAGAGCAGGTGGGCGTGGGCGTGTGCGTGCACTCTCTCTCACGTGCACAAAGGAGAGACCTCCTGGAAAATAAACCCTACCACTAGCACAGCAATTGGACATTTAGATTGTTTCCATAATTTCCCCTTAAAATATTATTTTTCCAGGAAATGACTAACAGAAATGCTGTCCTGTTTCTACCCAAGAAAATGTTCAGTCCTCTTTCCTTCTAATAAATATCAAATAAAAGCTCATTTTCCTTTCTTCCACCTCTTCCAGAATGGACTTCGTTGTGTTTTCTTCTGTGCATGATGCACATGTGTCCATGTTGCCTCGAGTTTCACTCTGAAGGTGGAGGCTGGGAGATTGCAGCTGGTGGGGGGCCTGGCCCCTCTGGGCTACACACAGCCGCCGCTCCTTCCTCTTCAGACTGTCTTTTGGGCCCCAGCTGCTGGACCCCTTCTGTTGCTTCTTGGCGTGATGTTGTACACATTAGGAATAAAAACAATGACTAGCATGTAGCATAGGGTAGAAAAGGGACGGAGGTAGGATGGGAGGGGGTGGGGATAGAAAGGATAGGGGCACAAAAACCAACCAAACAAAAATAACCACACTGAAAGCTTCTACCTAGTAACACCAGGCCATGAATGGACTAGCCTGCCTTCTGGGAGACTGCTTGCTCTGCTACTGCAAAATGTACAGGAATCAAAAACGTCCATTTAAACCCTACAGCAGCCACCTGCTGGTCCAGCCCAGCACCACCACCCACACTGCACCCTCGAGTGGGGCTCGAGCACCTACAGAGTGAAGGGCATTTCCTGCTGGAGTCTCCAGGCCAGAAGAGGGCCTACCGGAACCTTCTGAGCGAAGGCGAGGCCTTGTACTCTTCCTATGGAACACTGCCACTGGCCGAAGAGGTCCGCTTCCCCATCCTGTCACCACCAACCTCTCAAGGAGCAGTGAACGGGACTTCCCTTGCTGCACACTGACTAGAAGCAGCACATCTGTGTATGGAAGAATTCAGTGTGACTTTTTACTACTGAGAGTATAACAATAATAAAAGATGTTTAGGAATAATTTCAACTACATTCTCAGTCAGCAAAGCAATCATTAATGGATTCCTATTTTATTCCCCAGAGAGGAAAAAAGGACTGAGAAGTTCCCACTGGCTTTTCCCACCTGCCTTCCCTTCTCAGCTTTCACTTCCCATGTGGCTGGGGACATGCACGATGGAGAAGGCGAGAGGCGGTGCTATCAGGTAACTGAGTGAGACAAACAGCAGTTCCTCTCTCCCTCCGGAGGCCCAGGGGGACGGAGAGTTCCTGATGGTTTTTCTTTTGGTTGCACTGCGGACATTTCGTGCACACTCAGCGGGCCGGTGGAACACTTACACCCTCTCAACGGCAAGACACAGAGAAGAGGGCTGCCACCTGCAGGGGCTGTGGGCCAGTCCTGCAAACCCAACATGCCATGGTGTATGGAGCTTCATTGCCAGGTTGCCACCCCAGCCTCAGTGTGGAGGGTTCATGGTGCCTTGTCCCCGCTGCTGCTTCTGTTTCTGCTGCATCAACAGCTGCTCCAGAGCGGATGGGCCAGGGTGCATCATGGAACTGGACCAGATGGACTGAAAGACAGCCCAGAGCTTGTCAGCAGAGCTCACAGGCCTGGTTGTCTGAAAGGATTGGTTCTTCAATCCCAGCCAAACATAAAGGCACAACGTCCCAAGATCCCCACCCCTTAAAAAAATCCAGCCATTAGAAAAGACTGTCCTCAGGACCAGTTAGCCCCTGTGAAGATTATTTTAGACCAGAAAAGGTGAAAGTACGTTTGAGATGAAGTCTTTTACTAAACTCAGTTCCATGTGGGGACCAGAGTATTTACTGTTAGGTGCTGTTCTTTTACTTGTTCAGAAAAGGCTTAAATCAAACATTCCAAGATGAATCAGAATGTTCTTAAACTTAGAATGCAACTAGGACCTTTGTGCTTCTGCCCCTGAAGATAATGCTTTGTCACTAGTGCATTCACAAATTAAAAATAAAAAGCCCATTCAAGAACCTCCTAAGGCAGGCCATATTTCCAGAACTCTGCTAGATATGTGCTATTAATTAATCAAGTATAGGGGCCTTAGGAATAACCTAGCTATTTATATGAATGAAACCAGCAACACTGCTTGTGGTTCTTATTCCTGAAATCCACTCACCTTCAGGCTCTCCATGAGGACAGCAGAGGAATCCTCCACAGAGGGGCCGTGGCCTGTCCAGGTGCCGCTTGGAGTGCTGGTCTGCTGCCAGCTGCTCTCAGAGGATGATGTTGCTGAGAGATAATCAATGCCAAACCCACCCATGGCTAAGGGATGAAAAGAGATTGGAATTCAAGAATACGTTTTATCACTGCCAAAAGCCCCAAACCAGGGAAAGACAGAGTAAAGTTATTCTACTTTTGTAAAGTTTGGGTCTCACCTGGCTTATCAGTTTTCCACCGATCTGCAGCTCTCCTCTCCCTGTTATCTGGAGCCCCAATGGGTCCAAAATTGGAGAATGGAACAGAATTATGGTTGTGTGTTGGAGGGGAGCTTGGCAGGCTGCTTGGGTTAGAGGAATGAGGAGATTGGCTGGCTGGTGTTGAATGATCTATTAAATAATAGCAAAAGAGGACATTCAATAGATAAGCTGTTTCACAAACTTGCCAAGAACTAAAGTTTCCTGTAGATCTGGTCACTTAAATTCTACTAAAAGTAATTAGAGGGTTTTGGAGGAAAGACAAAATAAGGGCCCCCAAAAGGACTCTGCTAGATGTAGGAATCTGTTGCTCTAAACATAAATAACAAGGCACATTCTTTGCCCAAAACAGAATGAAACAAAGCAGGAGACGATTCTGTCAAGTGCACCCACTAATGCAAAACACCTGTTTCACATAAGTACCCATTGGTCTTCTATATGAGAAATATAATTGTCTAACTTTAAGACTTACTATTAAATCAGACTCCATTTATAAAATGGGCATTAAAAAAACCTCTATTTTAAAAATTAGTTTTCCTGCAAAGAATGTCTGCAAACAAAACTAAAAAACAGCTGACATCCTTTAGGATATGAAAAAGCCTTAAAGAAATACACACACACACACACACACACACACACACACACGCATGCCCCATACTGGGAATTGAGCCCACAACCTGGGCATGTGCCTTGATTGGGAATTGAACCTTCACCTCTAATGCTCAACCACTGAGCTACAATGGAGGGGCTGAAGAAGCTTTTTTAATGGCATTTGTTATGTAAACTAACTCATCAGACTTTTTCTCTATTTTCTTTCAGGAGTTACTTAGAAAAAAAAAAAAATCAACACAATATATTTACAATGACAAAATCATTCTAACTCTTAATCAATTTGAGTTTACTGGCAATACAAGGTCTACCTTTCCTTGAAGACTAGTTAATACCTGAACTGGCAGGAAGTGATGGAGACCACGGAGTCCCTTCAAACAGGGAGTACAGGGATGTTTCCTGGGGGGCCATTGCGGGACTGAGTTCTGCTTTGGAGCTGGTTGTAAGGTTTTTCCCATACACCTCATTGAACACACTGTTGTTTGGGTATCTTTCCTGAAAGAAATGACAGTCAAGTTACAGATGCACGTCAAGGAAGGAAAAGTATTTAGAAAATGCCACGTTCAGGTTCACAGATGATTGGGACACCTTAAGCTTTTCTTAAGGCAAACTTTTGAAGGCTTTTATTTGTTTCTTTTAGCTTTCCTGTTAATTTCCCTTTGCTTTCCCTCACACTTTTGCTCTATCTATGTAAACCACCGACGTTAAAAAGTATGAATAACGTATTAGGCGAAACAGAGCCCTAAGGATTTCAATATTGAGAAGTCAAAGGATTCAAACCTGTAACATACAAGTCTCTAGTGTACCCAATCAGAGAGAGAGGGGATAAAATAAAGAATCCAAAAGGTGCCAATATATGAAAGAGAAAAGCAGAAATACTGAAATAGGACAGGAAGGAACACGGGAGCCCACAATGACAGCGCAAAGCGGGATTCTTCACTGTTTACTCACCTGGTTGAGAGAGAATCCAGTGAGGGACAGGAAAGAGGATGAATGGGACATGAGCTCAGAGGGCTTCTCCAATAAGGATTTCTTCACAGTCCCGGAAAAAAAATGGTAGTTAGACTATGCCTTGCATTTCCTTAATATTAATTTTAAGACACTATAGAGCCCAATGTACTGTAAGCGCACTTGTATCCACCGTAGTGTACAGCATGAGGCTCATAAGATGTGAGTGCAAATCTGTTAAGGCCACGACGTCAGCTCAGTGCCAGTGGCCACAGGGAGTTACAGACTCTCCTCCTCGATCAGGCCCTCTAACCCAGCAGAGATCCTGGCAGAGACCAGTGACCCTGGAATACTCTCAAGATGCTAAACGGATCTGGCACTGTTTTCTCCCCAAGTTTTTAAAAACACGGACATTAACGACTGAAGAAAAGCCTTTCAAATCCATTTGACAACAGGTTTTGTGAACATGGTCCCTACACAGCTTTATCAACAGTTGACTAAAGTAGGTTTACAGCAGTGAGTGTGCTAAACACAGAGTTTATTCTTGTATTATTATTAATTATTGTATTATTTTCCATACAAACAACTGTAAACCTACTTTTACCCCACCCTGTACTGAAATACATAGTTGCTAAAGTCAAGCTACAAGAAAGTTATTGTGGGAAAAAAGCTAAATCTCTGATGCTTGCAGTCATTGAATAGTTGATCAACATGCATTTATTAACCACCCACTGCACACTTTCATACACATGATATCATTAACAATGTTAAATACAGAAAGGGTTATAGTCAAGGTTTTTCTTTAAAAACATGTAACAAATAAACACTAATATGCCCCTCCCCAACTGTTCCATGAGCTTCATTTCCTACGGAAGGGGCAAGTGCAATAGGAACAAGGGATCAGGAAGCAGGTAGACAGAGAGGAAGACACTCCCACAAACCCTCCAGCCACCCGTGAAAAGCAGCAAGGCGACATGTAGCGACAGCAGGTCAGCAACTGGGGTTTCCACACCTCTAGGCGCAGTCAGGGCACCACTACTTCAGTTTTCAGGAGATTTTATTTCTCCTAACTTGGGGGGGAGGGGGGGTAGAATGGGAGCTTTCTATGGCCACTCACCAAGCCAAATTCTTAAGGGAACTTCAAGTGCCAGGGACGGCAGCTTGTCACCAGTGCCATTAAGCTTTTATTTCTCCTAGTACAAAAATCAACGTATTTTAATTTTACGTTTTCTTGCCCAATGTCCATGGGGAAGAAAGTAAATCTCAGAACTGTTCCACGTTTTATTAAGATGGGGTGCAGGACAGAAAAAACAACCATAGCACACATCTTTCTTTTACTTCCCCATCTTAGTAAATGTAAACACTGGCATAGGTACAGCATGATATCCTCTGAAATGCAGACTAGGATCTAGAAGATTTTTTAAAAAGATACAACTAATGAAGTCTTACACTTTATGTCATTGTAGTTATTTATTGTTGTAGTCACTCATTTATGGCACTCTGACGCTTCTTTTTAGCATTCTGTTTATACAATTCTGGCTCTGATCACGGCTCTTGGTTAACCAAACAGAAAAGAGCCACATAGCATTCAAAAGCATCAGTAAACTGTCTAGAACATATTTCATTTCCTATTTTGAGTTCATGAGAAAAAAATCTCACTATTCTAAATAAGATTAATGACACTGGACATTCCTGGGTCCAGATGGAAGTGCCACTTGAGAAGTAAGTTAAATTTCCAGCATCACAACCTGTGTGCGCCCAGCCCTCAGGATGGTCCTAACAAAGTCACGAATGTAAGGTCTTGGGAACCAGGCCGTCGGGAAATAAACTTTACAATTCTGTAAAAAAGAAAAGCCCCCCAAAAGAAGAAATCACCTATTCTAAAATCTCAGAAAAGCAGCTGGGGTTAGAGCAAGACTTAGGTTAAATACATACAAAGAGGCTTCTTCCAGGGAGAGAGGCGAGAGGCCCCAGCAGAGCTGGGTAAAGATCAGGAGGGTTAGAAAAAATCAGCTCTTCCTCTTCCTCCAAGGCAGCCAGACTCTTTAACAGGTCCGGAGGAAGCAGAGGGGAGCCCTTGGGGTCCTAGTGACAGAAAGGAGCACAGTGAGAGGCCATAGGGATGACAAAAGCACAAAGGAGCAGTGGCATGATTGGGGGATGAAGTCATTAATAGTGAAGCAGGATTATGCAAAGGAAAAGGCTCTGAAATACAAAAGCAAATTGACACAGAGTGGGCGACAAAGATCAAGACAATACAAAGAAGCAAATAGTGATGGAGCAGAACGTAAAAGGTAAAAGTGGCTCATGAGTCAAACTGTAAAGGAGCAAAGTGACTAACTTACCTTGTGCTAATGACCAACTTACAAACACATCCCTGTGTCTCAGGAATAGGAAGGGTAAGGAAGGGGAACTCCACTATTAAAGATAACTGGCTGACTATTTCAGAAAGCACTTCGTTTAAATGTGCAGTGAACTATTTTTAAACTTAGATGATTCAGCCCAACGCAGGGAGCTGTCTCCGAATTCTCTAACATGTGGGTTAGAGTCCCGCACATGACATTTTTGCCAGACTGTCAAGTTTAAACTCAATAACAGGACCCTTCAGCTCCTCAAATCCAACATACTGTGCAACTGTGAAGAGACCAGGCGCTGTGCCCACTGCCCAGTAGCATTCTGTGACACTTATGCATCAGTGACCTTTAGAAACAGCTACTGGGAAATTCAAAATATTTGCAGCCCAAGACCTCTCCCTCAAGTGCCTGTGACAGGAAAGGACACACACCTCAAAGGGCATCCTGGGCACAGGATCCTGCTCTGGACGGAAGACTCCTGGTGGCCGCTTGCCCCTGCGGTCCATATTTGCTTGCTGAGCCATCACAGCTCTGTTATCAGCCATGCTGTAGGAAGAGTCCCAGTAGAATTCTGGGACCTTGACTTCTGAGTGATTGTGGTTATATGGCTCCATGGGAAAAGGCTTCATTTTTTTCTCCAGAGGCTGCTGCTGCATTACAGGAGATTGCAATGACGGCTCAAACAGTTTTATGGGATCTTGGGTCTGAAGGTAGTAGGGCTGTTTCACAGGCATGATTTTCCCTAATGGGCCTTGAACCTGAGGGGGATTCCACAGCTGTTTGGAGGCATCTGCCTGCTGATACTGAAAAAGAGAAGCCTGTCATCAGAATGAGGATGAAACGCAATGTTTCTGACACTCAGTGCTCAGGAATCACAGAATGCACTTGGTTTCACAATCAACACCACTCTCGGCAATGCAGCGCTTTCCTCTACCATTCAGGTTTTTCAATGCACAGAAAGCCATCTAGGTACAGATTATGGACACTGAACTCATAGTCGCTCTTTCAATTCAATCATTTAAGAGGTTTAGTGAGTGTGTCTGTCTCCCTCCGGTTTCAAGTGCTATGTGGAGGGCAATATTTAAGGTTGGTGTCACAGCTTTCTTAACATCTCATCAAGATTATGATTCTACTTCCCTTTTATAGTTTATGTTCACACAGGAAACAATTATTTCTAGAAAATACTTTCCAATAAAACTAACAAGTAGCAGCAGCAAAGAATAGTAGTTAAGATCTACTATCTTTTACAAAAGTGGAAAGGAAAACATTTACACTTTCCTAATCAGCAAAGAATACTTTTATATTCTCATCATCATGACAAGTCTAAGGGGTGTATGAGAGCATAGCTAGCATTTCCAAATAACTGAATACTGACGAACTTCAGCCTTCCCTCCTTAGTCAGCTGGACGGTACAATGTCACCTACCTGCTGGAACCCAGAGTGGTGAGGAGGGCTTTTCCCCAAAGCTGGCACGGCTTTTGTAGGGGATTGTTGTTGCTGAGCTAGAGCTTGAACCTGCAACTGGCTTGTAGACTGTGCTGTTGGCTGAGCTGGTAGAGATGTAAGGGGTTGCTGGGAAGGTGGCTGTGGTTGTTGAGGTCCCTGGTTCATTGGCCCTGGTCCAGAGGGCCGTTGCTGGCTGTAAGGAATGTGGGACTGTTTCCCAGCTTGCACCTGGTTTCCTGCTGGAGAGTGAGCTGTAGGCTGAAGAAAGGTTCCTGGGACAGAAACACCAGCTGGGAAGGTGTAACCTGAGCCCATAGGAAATGCCACAGGAGGGGAAATAACATATGCTGGGGGCGGGAACCCTTTAAAACAAAAGAACACAGCTTTAGTTCTAAAGAAACTTAGCAAAAAAAAAAAAAAAAAAAAGGCAAAAGTAAGTCATTTGGGTTGGGATAAGGTGGGGAAGGGGTCACCTCATAAGTTCTAAAAGATAGGGGTCAACCATCAAGACTGATCAAATGAAAATCTTTAATTTCATTTCAAAAATTAAACATAGACTACTGACTGCTACTTCTATCCACTTAAGCAAGTGGAGTGTTCTAAACATCATGTTTAGTGACAGGAATTCCTTCATAACAAACCTGCCCTTGTATATAAACTACCAGAGAAATGGCTCCAAAATAATTTCATAAGCATTAGGGAAAACATAACTTCCTTCTACCTTTTAAAAAAATATATATATATATATATTTTTATTGTTGATAGTATTACAGATGTCTCCCACTTTACCTTCCTTCCTCCTACCTTTAACACTATAGTTAGTAATATCACTCCAATAGAGTATGAATTACTCAATGAATGAATAGAAACTCCTACACAGAGGTATTAAGTAGAAGTTACAAAGCATATTTACCTGGCCGGCTAGGAAGAGGCGGGAAGGCTCCAGGGTGGTGAATGGGGATGAACTGGGAATTACTTGCTTGACTTGGGGTTTGAGTGACAGGTGTTTTCCTGGCTTCAGACACTGGAGTCTTTCTTAGTTCTGTCTGGGATTTTACCTATGACCAACAGAAGCAAAACTATAATAATCTGAAACTCAAACGTGTCAGAAAGAAGCATCTACTCTAGGAAAGCATGTAAAACACCACTACGTCAAAAAAAAAGTATATGCTGAAGATTAAATTACAAAGAGGAAATGAAAGTAGGTGATTTAACTGCCAATAAAAGATACACATGCCTTCATTTTATTCATATAATTATTTTGCCCTCACAAAATCATAAAAATATTAAATATGGAAAGGACATGAGAGCTCCTTTGTTTTACAAATCAGACACCCAATGCCAACAGGTTAAAAGCTTGCCTATGATCTTAAGTTGCCTGTTACAGGTTCCAGGGCCCTTTATGAATTACTCTAATTTATTAAATAACTTACATAAACTACAAATTAATGATGACCCACTTTGGTCTTCAGTTTAATTTCATCTGGGCAGCCTTAAGGGTGAGGCATTCACCCTCCACCTTGCACCTTACCACCCTTCAGGATAGGATACTTTCTAAAGAACAGGCCCTGAGTCCTGCACATGGAGAAGAGGTGGATGCCCCAGGCACTGCTCAAGATGAGTAAAAGGGGGGGGAGGGGGGGGGGAAGGAGACATATATAAAACTTTAGACAATATAAATAAATAAATAAATAAATAAATAAGTAAGTAAGTAAGTAAGTAAGTAAAAGGCGGGAAAACAGGTACCGTTTACAGAAAACTTAGGATGAGGTACAGAGGGTGGTGATCCACTGACTGCTACCAGGCTCTCTTTACTCATCTACATCCCTCTTACTCATCTACATGTAAGAGGGATGAGAGATCAGGAAGAGATTTTATTTCTACTGAACTGTGCTGGGAAGCAGTTATAGAGAATGGAGGCAGAGCAGGGAGGAAATGCTGGGCTCTATCGCTAAAGCACTGAGACCTCAGTTTTATAGTTCATTTGGGTTTCCTCTTACCTTTCCACTGCACCTGTCTTTCTCCGTTTCTTTTCTTAATTTCTACCATGTTTTTTCTCCCCCCCCCTACTAATCTTAAAATGGAACTATTATATTCTTATTTCTCTCTTTCCCTCCCCCGCAAAAATCCTGCAAGAGAAACACATTGAAGGCAGTTTATTTGCAAGAGGACTCCAAATAATGTAAGGTTCCTCATGCCTACTACCAACAAATATATTTGCCAAAATATGTTAACAAAACAAATGGCATTTACTCAAACATTAATGGTACTAATAAAACCAGTACAAAGACCCCTTTCCTTTTATATAAAGTAATCTGTACCGCTTTGGAAAGGTATTAAAACAAACATACACCCCAAAGATGCAAATAACTGAGCAGTGTTTCTCTTTTCCCAGCAGGAGACTTGGGTTCTTGCTTTACAAATTCCCATGGCCAGGGTAACACTGAAGTGCTAATAATGCTACTGGCTGCGACAGGTATAAATGTCAAGGAAAAGAGCTTCATCTTCATCTTTTATCTTGTACAGTGACTCTAAAAAAACAACACCACCTATACCAGCCTTACTCTACCTTTAGTTCTATTGGATCTATCAAAGGCCCCCAATTTCTCACTACAGGATTAACAAATGGCAATTATATTTTCAAAAGAAAATGTAAGTTTTTGTGGAACTGACAACTCTGCAACTGGTCATTTCAAACAATGTAAATTGAACAAAACTGATAAACATGTCAAACAAGTTAAGAGTCTTTCACTCATATGATAATTCCCAAGGGTCAATGAAGTAACCACCTACCACAGCTCTTTACAAGACTTACTATGAAGCATTTGAAGAATGCATTCAAGCTTCTAGAATAGCCAATTTTCAAGGCTTTTAGGAACAAAATGAAAAATCTTGCCTTTTGTGTGAGCCTTCCTCTACCTGCTTTATAGTGCAAATACAGCTTACCTGCACTGCCACATTCTGCTTTCCTGTTTCCTGTAACTTTTCTAAGGTGCATTTCTTGGGTTCTGTTTTCCTCTTGTTGTTGTCCTTCTTTCCATCATTCTTAGTTACAGTTATTCCTTTGCTATAGTCCCTTCTCACCTCTTTGGGAGGAAAACTTCTTCCTTGGTCTCTGTTCACTTCTCGTAGCTTAATGTTCTCTTTGAAGGTGACCACTGGTTTCTCTCCCGTGTCACAGTTGTTGCTTAGATTTCGGCCCGTAGACAGCACCGATTTCAGTCCTGGATTCCCGTTCTCAGCCAGTGACTCTATTATGGATGCTTCTTGCAGAATAAGGTTCTCTTTGGCTTCACTGGGGTCTTCTAGTATTAACTCTGGGATTTCTGTGATAAACAATAATTTCCCTACCTCATTTTCACACTGAATCAGCCTAAAAAAGTAAAAATAAATCCATATATGAAAAACACAAACCTAAAAAACAGTACAACTGAATTGTGTATGGATCCAACAGTCAAAAGATTCCCAGCCCTAAAAACTTGGAAACAGCAGGAAATAACAATGTGGATTCAGGTAACACAAAAAGTAGTTATGTAGAGACTCAGATTCTCATTATCATATTCAACACAACAACACATATCCGTGCCCTTTTAATGTTCTCCAATAATTGCAGCAATTAAAAATACTGAGCATGTTTTAAACATAGGTACTAGATTAGGCCCTTGAAGTAGCTATTTATAACTCCAATTTTATAGGTGTGAAAACTAAGCTAAGAGGTAGTAAGTTCACTCAAACATGCAACCACTTTAAATGCTACAGTATGACAGGAACCTCAGTACAAAATGACTATGAAATAGTGACCGACTTTGGAAAGGTTATAATCAAGCAGAGGATCCCAACGACATAGACCTGGGGAAGTGGCAGAATTAGAAGCTGAATTTAAATGGATCTGACTCTAAGACCTGTGCCCTCCACTACACCAACTACCCTATGTGCTTTGTATTTAATAAGCCAGTAGCTCCATCCTGGTCTGTTCAGATTGAAACTCATCACCATGGCCCTGTCAATCAATACCAAGCACCATAACTGTGAATGTACAACTTAGATTTACATAAATGTTTATGAATTAGAGCAGAAGATCATGATAAACAGGGGGTGAGGCCAATTCCTCTACAATAGGTAGGTAATGGGGAGAAGAGAGATTTAAGAGTATAATGATCACCAGGGTTATAATTTGTTATGTTACCATCATTTTGTCTTCTGAGTTTATATATAATCAGTAGCATTATACCAAAGACTAAAACATAGGTGGCTGTGTATGTGTGTTTGATGAAATACCTTGGCTGGTTATCCGCGATCCATTTGCCTATAGAGATCAAGCGCTGCTGCCGTATTTGTCGTTGCTGACCCTCTTTGTCTCCTGTAATACCTTGGTGGCCTTTGGAAAAATCCAAGTTCCTAAAATTAATATAAGCAAGTTATAAAAGATATTTCCCAGGCAACCAAATGCATCTACTTAACTGAAATGGCTTCAGATTGTTCCATACAGGTTAACTATTTGATGTAATTAACTACATTTGTTTTAATTTATATTCCCAAAGATTTTAAATCCAATGAAGCAAAGCAGAAAACACACTACGGAAAGAATTAGAGTGCAGAGTGAAAAAGGAGAGTTAGTTCCTTCTGATAAGCTCTGAAAGGTTTCACATGGCTGGTATTGGAGCTGGAGCGTGACTAGTTATGAGTGAGCACTTACAGATTGGTAATGAAAGGACGAAGAGGAAAAGGAAATGTTCTAGGAATAGCATGAAAAGTTTTGGAGGAATAAAAACACAGAGCTATTCAAGAAGATAACAGAGTGAGTGTAGAGTATGTATAGGTAGGTATTAGTGGAGAGGAGGGTGTAAGTGGAAAATAAGGCTGAAAACTTACACTGCATAGTGACAGAAAATATGCTGAACAATTAAGCATTTGGACAGCAAGCCACTTGAACTGTTTCTATATTAGTAAAGGGCATCATCAGGTCTACACTTTAAAAATACAATGTGGAAACAGGGTAGAAATAAACTATAGAAAGAGAGGGACTCTAAGTAGGGAAGGTGATTAGGAAACTTTCTTACCCCAGGTAAATGGTGATAAAAGCCTGAACTATGAGGAAATAAATGGGAGGAGTTGTATCTAAAAGGCATTTTGGACACAGAATTACAAAGATTTGGTGAGAAAGATTAACAGAAATAAGAACTGTTTATGTAGTTGGACAATGGCATACAGATAAATTTAGAAAGATCATATTTTACTGACCAAACAGGAAAATACTAGCTCATTTTTGGTCATGTCAAAGTTTAAAATTGCTAGAAATATGAGTCTAAACTCTACAAGAAGTCAGAACTGAAAATTTTGGTCTTAGTATCCTGGAGGTAAAAGCTCAAGACAAAAGGATGGATTTGATCACCCGGAAGAACGTAGAGTGGGAAGGAAAGGGCAAGGGAAGAACCCTTGAGAATACCAATATTCCAAGGCATATAATACACAAGAAAGAATGCAACTGAGCCTCTTAAGGGTAGAAGGAGAAGAACGATGATCCAGAGCTAAGAGAAAGAAGGTTTCATGAAGGAAGGGGACCAACAGACTCAATGATAAAAAAAATTATATAGGATGAAAATTATACAGAACTCAATACAACTTGCTAACTAGGAGAGAGAGCAGAGTTTACAGTTGCAGTAGGCTGAGAAATAATTGGCTGTGAAGCAGGTCAGCAAGACTAGTACACACTACTCTTAGAAGTTTAATGATGAAGAGAAAGCTGAGGTTGTGATTTTTACTTTTTTTTTTTTTTAATTCTCATCCAAGGATATGTTTATTGATTTTTAGAGAGGAAGGGAGAGAGAGAGGAAGAGAGAGACAGACATCAATTCGAGAGGGACACACTGATTGATTCAGTTGCCTCTCATTCGTTTCCTGACCTAAGAACAAACCCACAACCTAGGCATGTACCCTGACCAGGAACTGAACCTGCAATCTTTTGGTGCATGGGACAGCGCTCTAACCAACTGAACCACCCGGCCAAGACACAAATTTTATTTTTTTTAGAAAGAATAGGGCATACTTAAATGCTACTAGGCCAAAAGGAAGCAATTGGTTGTTAAAAAATAAGATACTGAAAATACAATGCAGAGAGAGATGGATAGATGGAACAAGGTTCTTGGGAAGGTAGGAAAGGATGAGATCAAGGACACAGATGAAAGGGCTAGACTTGAAAAGGAGTAAGAAGGTATTCCTCTGAAAGAGAAGGAACAGAGACAAAATGACTGGGAAAACAGAGTGCTTTATTCTTATTTTAATGTGAAATATGTCAAGCAATACCCGTTGGTTTCCATTTTGAGACTTTCCCTCTGATTTCAAGGAAAGTATAAAAGGAAATAAGTATCACTTGGAAGAAGCAATTCTCTTTCCTTTCCTCCATATTTTTTAAGCACTTAGTATTGGTATTACATAGGCATTAAAGGCACAACATATACAAATCCATTTTACATCAAAACTTTGACTCTCAGTTGCCGTTAGGAAAAGCTAAGAAAGATCAAGAGCTTCCACAACCAAGCCCGACTCCTGATAATTTTAATATGGCAACCACTAGCAATGAACTCCGCCTCCTCCAGCTGCCACCCACCTGAAAGAAGGTCTCAAAGCCAAGAATCCTTGTAACTCAAACTCCTCTGGAAGTGGTGTAGCTAGAGAAGGGTAGAAATCAAGATTTGTAAACATTTTAATTAAAATTCTGTTGTTTAGCAGAATACTGCTAAGTGGAAAAACAAAGTCTCTGGAGAAACTATAGGCTATTCATAGTGCCCTGCTCTTCTTTATAGTAACTTACCTGTCAAAGCCCTGCATGTTGCCTTTGGGCCCTGTGCACTGCCCTAACATTCACTTATACCCAGTGCTGAGTTGCAGTATGATGCCTTTTTCCCCCTCAGCAGTCTTAAAATTTCACAGCCTCAGATGCAGTAATCCCAAAGTATTGAATAATAAAATTGACATCATCTGGGAGCTTGTAAGAAATGTAGAATCTTGGGCACTATCCCAAATCTACTGAATCATAAACTACATTTTCAATAAGGTCCCAGGAGATTCATTTGCAAATTAATGTTTGAGGAGCATAGATCTAATGGAAGAAATATAATCAGAAAGAAGTCAACTACCGATTGTTCAGTGTAGAATTATTTATAACGGGGAAATTTTTAAAGCAAATAGACAATGATTAAATAGATTATGGCATATCCATAGTATGGACTATTATGCAGCCAGTAAAAATCATGTTTCAAAATGTTTAAATGACAAAGCTTTTGCTAACAATATAATGTTAAACTTAAAAAGCAAGTACAAAGCTGAATTTGATACCAAACACATGCAGGCTGTGTATGTACACATACAAAAAGGCCCGTAGAAAACACGCTATCCTGTATCGCTGTGTGAGAGAACCACAGGTGACTTGTGTTCTTACATTTGTATGTCTGAAATGTTTCATGGTAAGTAGGCATTACTCTGACAGAGTAATACTGTTTACATTAGTTTTTTGTGGTTTTTTTTTTTTTTTTTTTTTTTTTTTAATTATAAGAATGAGGAGGATGGAAAGGATTTGCAAGTATTGCACTCTCTGGGCTCCTGTTCAGATGCAGCTAAATAGGAAAACAAGCTGCTGGAAGAACATCACCTCTACTTCCACCCACTCAATTGGGATAGAGTTCAAAGTCACTTCTAATATATTAAATTTAACATCAAACACAAATCTGCTTTTCTGTGTCCTTAAGCCCACCATCAGAGATGGAGAACAATGTCGACAGCACAAGGCTGAGGTTGCTCTTACCATTAGTACTTGAAAGATCCTCTTCATGGGGATGGAAACTATTTAGAAGAGAAATCAGCCAGGGCCAAATGCTGAAAATGAAAGTGATAGTGCACATTTTATTTTCACACAAGAGAAACCAGAACACTAATAAGCCATGAAAGTGTTATCTTGAGGACCTAGACTTCATGCATTTTTCTCCTTGCTTCAGCATTTTAAAGACTGTATGACTCCTAAAACATATTTTCAAAGATGTCTAGATGAAAGATACCCCAGAGTGTTAAATTTCCATGACATACTACTGCAGATGTTTCCCAGGCACCTTCATTTGTCACTCTAAAACCAATAGTTCCTAAGAACTGTCAGAATTATTCTGAGTAGAGATTAGAGAGAAAATGGCGATGACCAAAATACTCTATGCTTAAAACAAACAGATATCTCAAATTGGGCGTTACTATAAGGCAACACAAAACAGGTTATGTATAGAAAATAATGGAAAGAAGTAAAAAATCTCTTCCTTTTAATTCCTAAACAAAAAACTGGAGCATACTGTAGTGGATAAGAAACAAACTGGTTTTATCTCCATTTCACTTTGGAATGTGAAAAATGCCACTTCCCCAGGATGGCAACCAAGGACAGGGGGAACAAAAAGTCAGAAATCCTTAAGATTGTGCCTCACATGAAGAATTCAAACAAATAAAGGGAAAGCATATAAAGAGGTCTTCAGTTCAATTTCCAAAGAGTGGGTGGGAAATACAGCCTTCCATTGTTCAAATGTTGTGTTTTCTAAGGTGGTTTCAGCATATCTTTGAATATCAAACAAACAAAGCACAAAAGCTGACAAGAAACTCTAAGATACTCACTACTGTCTTTCATCCACCACCGCCTCCTGGAAGACCCTGGGTCTGAGTCTCAGCCAGTCCATGGAGACCTTGACTGCAGGAAGGGGATAGGCATTGTGGGATTCCTCCTGAGACTTGTTCTGGAGAGGACACTTGCACAGGATGCCAAGAAAAGACACTCAAAAGAAAAAACGTATACAGAAAGCATAAGATATTTGAAACTGTGTTATCAGTCTCTCAGCTTCTTTCTAAAAGGGCATTTTCTTTCCCCAGTTAAAAATTGTTACAGATACACTGACGATGGATGTCAGCAGATAAGGAACAGAATTTAGAGTACGGGCCTCTTGATTCAATATTAAGACATACAAGACACTTCTTTATATAGCACTAATGCTTTATGATGAAAAGGCCAAAGAAGATGGAACAGAAAGTTAAAACGATTTAATACTTACTAAAGAGGGCCAGCAATTGTGTCCAACACAGCTGCTCATCTTGGCTGTAACTATGCTGTTCTGTTTCATTGCTAAAGTCACGAAGGTGATGAAGTTGAAACAGGTTAATGACAGTGACGTGAACTAACTGCTGAGAGTTGAAAGCTTTTTGAAAGAGCAGCCTCTGTAAAAGAAGATAGGGAACACTGCATATACTATTATCGAGAACAGGAGCCATCTTCAACACAAGAATTAAACTGTCTGAATTTAGAGCCACATGGGTTACAGTAAATTATAGATAAGTAAACTTTCACTTTTAATCTCAGTATTTTAATCGAGTCTAATGTGGTCTGATGTTTCTCATGCTGACCATTCATCTTGAAAAAAATTAACCCAGACACCACTGAACTGTTTTCCACAAGTTTTCGGTATCCATCAATAAATTCACATGCCTTCCATCCATTAGAAGCTGTTTTATAAGAGATGCATACACACTAAAATTATCAAATTGGGACCAATGACTAAAAAGTACATGCATACAGTGAGAAACAAAATTTCAAATAAAGAGACTCAAAACACATGTTTTTGAACTCTTGGTACATAATGTATGACTTCCAAAATTTATTATAAAATTTACTCTTTCAAAGGCCTGACATACGTAAAGAAGCTTACTTATAAATGAGGTACATAGCAAGAACATACTTTGGAACACAGGGCAAATGATATCTAAAGCCATCATTAATATATTACAGGTACTTCTACAAATTATCACACTGACACTTCCCCCTATAAGGAAGGTACATCCATGACCTTCATTATCAACTTCTTTTACTTAATAACCATGTGTTCACAAAGACCTGCTAACCAGCACTATAAGGAAGAATTCACCTCTATGCACTCAGCTGGTGGCCTCACCAGCTCCTAACAAAGTTGATAACAAAGATGACATCCTGGCTTCACCCCACATTTTAGCTACAGCCAACCTGTCTCTGTCCCCAAGGAAAATTAGTGCAGACAATGGGGACTCACTGCCTTATGGTGGGAAACAGATACAGAATAAGATCTATAATTCATTAGCAAGACCTTTCATATGATCATTGGAGAAAAACACAATTCCATTCCACTTTAACTCTACTCTCCCTATCAGATCTCTCAGCCTCCTTGCCATCTGTCACTCCCATATATAAATCTAGAATGCTCACTTCTTTCTCAAAGGCCTTAAGCATTTTCCTTTCCTTTCCTGAAAATGTCTTGAAATCCTAGCTCTTCTCCAAAATCCTCCCACAAAATTTTCAATCTCTGCATCCAGCCTTTACACAAATGCATGATACTGGCATAAAATGAGAATATTAATTTGTATTTTTCAAAAAGCATTTTTTCTTACTATTACAATATAGCAATGTGGCGTTCATTTTAGAAGGAAATGTCCTACGTTACAGAATCCTAACCCTTTAAAGGGCTTTCTAGTGTAGGCACAGAAGCATTGATGCATATGGTGTACCCTGGTAATAGCAAATGTAAGATTAAGTTCATAAGGGCACAGACTTTGTCTTGTTCTCTCCTCTCTATCTCCAAAGGCCTAGAAAAGTGCACAGCACACAACAGGTACTCAATAAATACTTAGTGAAGGAATAATTCACACCTTTGGAAGTCAATGTGTAATTATTCAATTGTACTTTTATAAAACTTAGATTGTACTGAAGTAAGCAGAGTCTTCCCTGGACAAAATCAGATAGGAACAGACATATTGCTACTGAAAGATACTTTCAACAGCAATTGAGGAAAACACTGAATTAAATACCATTAATAAACAGCATACATTTGACAGATACAAAAAGCCTTATATCTCAGTTCCTAAATTCCAGGCCTTTTAATCCTTCAATGAACCTCAACTTGGTAAATGTTTCTTAGTAGCTAAAGATTGCTAGTTAGACAGATATACTGAAGTTTACATTGTTATCTACAAACTAGAGGCCCGGTGCACAAATTTGTGCACGGGTGGGGTCTGGCCGGCTGGCCCTGATTGGGGCTGATCACAGAGGGCCGGCCAGGGGGAGGGGATGCGGGAGGTTGGCTGGCCGGCCGGGATTGGGATGGGTGGGGGGGTCGGGGCCGGCTGGGAGGAGGGGCCGTGGGTAGGCAGTCCTGCTCCCTGGTCAAACTACCCGTCAAACCCCTAGTTGAGGGGACAATTTGCATATTAGCCTTTTATTAAATAGGATACTTTAAAATACTTTTGAATATTTACTCAACTATGCTAAAATTTCACTCCACAATGTTCTTCTGACATTTTAGTACTGGGTAAATTTTAAAATAGATCTGCCTCATCCTGTGTTTAATTTTAGAGTGTAGGAATGATACTTCGCAATTGCCCACACACTCCCACCAGAACTTCACATACAGAATTATATATTTGAAGAGAATATTAGTGTTTGAGGTTGAACCAAATGCAAAACCGACTAAACTCTAGACTAGAATAACTTACATGGAGAGGATTTCATTAAGGTAGGTTCCACACCCTCCCCATTTGGGGAGTGTATCTTTCATAGAACAAGAGAGCGAGAAGTAATCTCAAGAGGTCATCTTGTCCAATCCCGATACATAACAGGACTACATCTACACCATCCAAGAAGATAGCTATCAATCTGACTTTTAAGTTCTCAAAAGAAAGTCCTCAGCAACACCCTACATATCTCTACTCAAATTCTAAGATTGAATTTTAGTTCTGACTCCAGGAAAGACAAAGATATGTTATCTTAAAATAATCTTTCAGATATCTGAAAACCTAAAATGAAGCTATTGAGACTTGTTTGCTCTTTCCAGGCTGAATAGCGGAGGGCATTACAAAGCAAGTTGTTGCTTTCATGCACCCCCCTCTATAAATCATGGACTAAGTCTACATATGCCACCACTAAGAGATGCAGAAAACTGCAAGGGACTCTTATTTTAGAAGCTTATTTTAAAACAAACTATTTCTATTATAGTTATTTACTATACTCTCTTGCACACAAAAAGTATCAACTATGCCTGGCTGATGTGGCTCAGTGGTTGAGTGTTGACCTATGAACCAGGAGGTGGTTGTTCAATTTCAGGTCGGGGCACATGCCTGAGCTGTGGGCTAGATCCCCAATGGGGGCAGTGTTAGGAGGCAGCCGGATCAATGATTCTCTCTTGTCATTGCTGTTTCTATATCTTTCTCCCTCTTCCTTCCTCTCTGAAATCAATTAACTTGTATACTTTATGTAAAAGTATCAACTAAAAATTGATTATCTGTAAAAACCATTTCACATTTATTACATTTGGCTAATTTATGTCTCTAAATTAAGTTCGACAATCTCTGAATTGTGACTTTTATAATATTTGTAAAACTATAAAGAAGTTATAGACCAGTGGTCACCAATCTTTCAGACCTTATGGACCACCAGTGGTCCGCAGACCACCGGTTGGCAAGTGCTGTTATAGACAATTCCAAAATGTAAAGATACCCAGAAGTAACCAAAAAATAAAAAATGCTCATTGAGAATGTCTTGTTTAATGTTGATCCCAGGGACTAAAACAGTGACAGGTATACAACAATCAAATATTTGTTGAATAAATTAAAAATAAAGTTAATACTTAATTTTGACTCCTTTCACATTTTACCCATCATACACTACATTTAAACTGCTAATTTAATATACTAACCTAACCCAAGATAATTTTCACATATGTAACTAGAAATAATTGAGTAAAATAATTGAATGAAATTTCTTATTCCTTTCCTTCAAACTACCACAAATCTTGATGGATCAAAATACAAGAGAAATGAGCTTGATTTGCAGAATGGGAATATCTATAAAGGAGGTAACAAAACCGTAGCTAAAAATATCTAATCCATCAAAAGCAGTGCTTTCCAAACTGAGAAAAAAATGTGCTTGGTCTGAGAAAGGAGGAGTTGTTTCTTTCCACTTGGATACTTTTTGCCAAACTGCAGCTACTTATTAGCTCATTGTTGTTGCATGTATTTCTTTGTATAAACGGCACCTTAGTTTAAATAAAGAGGATGCTGTATGCAAAACTTTCATATTTAATTTCAAAGTTAATTTTTACCAACAGTTCACAGTTAAGTAATGGAGTGAAAACTGGGAGTCATCTTCCTCCAAATCTTACACTTATTTAAACAAGACAATAAATTCTCTGGTTTTGAAATCTAACCTTAAACTGTTCTTCCAATTTTTCTCGAAGAGGGCTCAACTTTTCCAAGCTCTTACTCAGGTACACATGGCCGTGGAACTTAATAAAGGCTTTGATGAAGTCAGAAACACCCCACTTGGTTTTCACCTCATCCCGGCTGAAATGAAAGAAAAACTTCCATGAATCTTAAGCAGCAAAATGGCTAAAATCTCTTAAAGGCGGCTTCAGTTTGCAAAGATACAATGTTTGAACACCTAGAGAGGATTCTGCACCTGACTTTCAAATGTGACACCCACAGGTAGAGGCAGTAATCAGCAGCCTGTACTCCTCTACTGGGAACAAATCAGTTGTTGATTGGTCGAAATTTGGTAAAAACTACATACAAAACTATTATTTACTATCGTTTATAAATCAGGCAAGTATAAGAGAAGCATAGGCAACTGGCCATTATTTCTTATATGCCTAAATTTGAGGGGTGAAGTCTACCAGGTTACACTAAGTCCTCTTGGGAAAGTCAGCCCTACCTTTCCAGTGCTTTAGAAAGTGCTTTCTGTAGATTTGTGGAGGCAGCTGGGAAAGGGAACTTCACAGCAATGCTTCTGCAGTAGTAGAAAATTGTGGTCAGATGGTCTCCCTTGGAAGAAGCTAAGATAGCCAACTGATTGTAAGGCTGACCTAGAGGAGAAAGTCAAAATTCTAAAGTAACTAAAGATGCACCAAGTTTTGCTATCAGAAAACAAATTATCAGTTTTCAAGCCTTTAAATTAATAGGGTGGAGTATTGGATAAAGTAAATATCATGACCACCTCATTACAAATAGGCATAACGTAAACCACCACACCTCAGCAATGAAACATAAAATGTTTAGGTTAAAAAGCCACATAATTACGGTGGACAGCACAGTAAGTTCAAATACAACTGATAGGGCTAGGTAGTAAATATGTTTTGTTTTGGGGAGTCAGAGTCTCTATTACAACTACCCGGCTCTGCCACTGCAGTGGGGAAGCAGCCACAGACAACACGAAACAGTTTGCAGACTACCATCCCTGCTTGAGGCTCCCTCAAGGGCTCCTTTTAGAATCTGGAGGAATTTTAATGTGGCTTAACAAGAATGACTTATATCATCACACATCTGTTATAATTTCTCTACTTCAAGAATCACTGCTAACACATATTTCAGGGGCCATCAAAATACAAGAACACTACCTTTTAGATAATGGGATAATTTTCCTAGGACCAAAATGGTGGTATTAAAGAGAATTAATCTATAAGTAATTATGGAAGTCAGAGTTGTTGAAATAATTTTAGATCATATTAGGGGATATTCTATTTATACTGCTTTAATTTACAACAGTTATTTTAGAAATTTCATTTCCAGTTATATAGAATGTACACTTAAAAGAGAAAATATGATAATCAATACCAAAACTCCTAAAACATGCAAGATAAGCCTTCAGTTATTTACCATACTGTTGTATTGAATGAAGTGTCACTGTCCACCAGTTGACAGGAGAGACTCACTCACCATTAGAGGGGACAAGCTGAGCTGCGTGCCTATAGTAGGACTCTGCCTGGCTGGTCTGGTTTCTGTATCGAGCTGTGAGGAGGAAGAAGAAAATGTAGTTTAAAGACAAACAAACAAATAAAGCAGTAACTAGGGTAATATTTCCAAAACAGGCTATTGTTTTAAATTCTAAAGATAACAAACACATTAAAATTGATTTAAGAGCATTAAAGATAGAAAAAGACTTTAAAACAAATTAACTATAGGATTATGTGTGAAGTGTCCATCCAGCCTTCCCTATTTGGGACATTCAGCATGTAACCAATTTTAAAGCTTACCTAGCCCCCACTTTCAGGTCCTCCAGTGTCATGCATCACCAGCTCTCACTACGGACTATGCTGGTGACCTGGAGCCGGCCAAGAAGGGGTGAGTTATATGGCACTTAAAAACAAAACAAAACAAAAAACACTATACAAGATGATCTGAAAATTATGTATTTCTTTCAATTATTTATAAAGTGATTTTGAAAAATGCCTCATACCTACTGCAATATTAAGTATGTGTGTGCAAAGAATACACTGACAGCAAAACAACCTATATACACTATTCCTTGAATCTTCCTGCAGAACTTGGTTCTTACTTTGATGTGACCCCTCATGGAGTTAGTGACTTATGACATCAAGAAATCTACAATCTTTGAACTTAAAGCAGTAATGTTCTCAATTCCCTGTTATTTGAGGACAGCAAACATAATCCTATAGTTAATTTGTTTTACAACCATTTTTTTAGGTCACCTTAAAGGAATGAACAAGAAATAAGTTACATAACATTCCCAGATTTAAATATATATAAAATGGAATACAAATTTAACTGTTAAAAGGAAACAGAAATGAGCTTTTAATGCACTGGCAGGAAGGAAAGAAGGCAATCTGGTTTCAGAAGGTATAAATTCATAAACCTCACAATTCCAAGAGTACAGACTTAATTTAGAAAATATTATGGCACCACTTTGAAAAGTTTAGCTTTGATTACATTTTTGCTATTTATCATTTGCCTACATCTGCACAAATCTGAATAAAATTTAAATCTTAATATGAAAGTTACTTCCTTCAAGATCCCTTGCCAATGTCAAAACAATGAGAAAATCTAAGTACCTTAAAATATATTTTATAGTTTCCTCTTAAGACCATCTAAATTGTGTATGCATGCTCAGTTTACAGGGAAATGGAGCTTCCCTCTATGACCACACCAAAGAAAAGGATAAATGTATTATAAATGTATGATTAATTCCTTCACACCAAAGGCTCACCAATGTCTCCAAGGTGCACGAGGCAGTGCTGGCAGATATAGGAGCAGGAGCTGGACTGTGGCTTCACTATGGCGCTGGTATGCGTCTGTTTATGGCTGATAATTCCCAACTGGGAAGACTTCACACGGCATGGTAAATCTACGTTAAACACTGTACACAGTTCTTGTAATAACTGAAAGGAAAACATAGCAAGATTTAGTATTAAGTCAGACTTGGCAAGTTAGAAGTGCTCTACAGTAAAACTTGTATACTTCAACATATGTATTTAATATCGCATACTGCTCAGACCTAAGCAAGGACTTCAAGAAAATTTTATGGTAACCTTTCTTTTCTTTCTTTTTTTTTAACAATCATTTCTTTTTTAATAGGAGCAAATAACAACAGCAACAGTAATACTGTATTATACATGATACAATCATTTATTTTCATTTTCCCTTGTACGTATGGTAAAAACCTTCATATGGTAATTAGAAGCATTCATTACAAATCATCTCTCTTGAATTTTCAAGTAAGTATTCGAGCAATCTAGGATGTGCATCTAAAAGGAATGGCAGCATTTTTTAAAAAAAGACTTCAGTGCCTGGACAGTGTAGCTCAATGGTTAAACATTGACCCACGAACCAAGAGGCCCCCAGTTGGATTCCCAGTCAGGGCACATGACCAGGTTAGGGGCTAGATACCCAGTAAGGGGTGTGCAGGAAGCAGCCGATTGATACTGTTTCTCTCTTATTGATGTTTCTATCTATCCCTCCCCCTTCCTCTCTCTAAAAATCAATAAAAAACATATTTTTTAAAAAAAGACTTTAGCCAAACTCATTCAAAGGAGTCCACACGTGCTATACCTGCTTTCTCAATTCCTATTCATTCCTTAATCCATTATGATCTGGCTTCTTATGGTATACAATTTGGGGCATTGTTATTCACTTGAGATTATAGGCGATCAACTGGATGGCCCACATAGTGGTTACACAAAGTGGGTGCTTGTGTTTTGTTTTTTAAATATATTTCTATTGATTTCAGAGAGGAAGGAAGAAGGAGAGATAGAAACATCAATGGAGAGAGAGAACCACTGATCGGCTGCCTCCTGCATGCCCCCTACTGGGGATCAAGCCTGCAACCCAGGCACATGCCCTTGACTGGAATCGAACCCGGGACCCTTCAGTACACAGGCCAACGCTCTATCCACTGAGCCAAACCAGCCAGGGCCACAAAGTGTTTATATAAACAACAAGATGTGTACAAAGAGAATTCTAGAAAAATTGGTATACATTGTAGAACTCACCTGAGTATAGAAGCCACTAGCTGCCTCTAGGAACAGAGAGAGGTTTGCCTGAACTTCACTCCGATTCGGGTTTGCTCGATTCTTTGCCTGGCCTTGTAGTGTTGTGATCTGATTCTTAAAGGCATGATTCCAGCTGAAAACAAAATGTAATTCTATTTGTATAGCAGTGACTCACTGGGCAGACACTGGTCCCCCTGAGAACAAGAAAGAACTGTTTGTTATAATTATAACACACTAGATAGTAAACCTGCATTAAAGATAGTGACTTAATTAAACAACTTTAGGCTCCCTTTGAACAAGACTAGACACGCAGTAGAATCCAACTGGCCTTAGTAAACACTTAACCAAATATTTGAATAATCAGATTGTGGCTTTAGTTATTATTCTTTTAGAGCTACTACAGTTAGAGCCTATTTAGGGATCCCAGTACAAAATCAGAACTACAGTGGGAACACCAAAGTAAAAATAAGCTATTAACAAATTTGCATACATTGTGCCAAAAATAATTGAGTGTACCCTAACAAGTGACATATAAAGAGGGGGGAAAAGTTTTGTAAATATTAAGCTATATCCCTTATTTCCCTAAAATCTATTACTCAGAGTTCTATTTCTAATTAATAGTTTGTTTCTCTTGGGGTTGTTTTCTTCAAAACTTGAAATATAAGGTCATTTTTTTACATTTTAATTTTAGCTATTTAAAAATAAGAAACAACACAATGCTGAAATACAGCATACCAAAATCCTGTTATAAAATGCCTTTCATTAATCGAGTTGTTTAGAGAATCATTTTAAATTCAGTTATGGTGAAATACAGCCACCTTCTAACTTGGAAATCACATGAGGGGGGAAAAACAGAACTAGGATGAAGGGATGATATTACTGGCTTGATTCAAGGAAGCAAACAGATAAAGGGTTTACAATCTACCTGGAAAATACCTAACTCTTATCAATGTCAACTTTTAAGACTCTAGAGCACCGGGGTTTTTTAATGATTTATGAGGTCAATCATTCCCTTAGAATTTGTGATGACATCTTATCCTTGATTCTAATATCATAGATATAGATTTTGAGTGGTTGTGATTAAGCTCTATTGCTAGATCTCAAAAAATCTTCACTGCAACTTGGGGAAATGGGCATTAATAAATAGAATGTTCTTAACTGATTTTAATTTTTTCATCAGGCCAATGTCCTTGTTTCAATTTAAAAGGTAAGGCCTTCCACAAAAGGCATTTATTTACTCACTTGGGAATCTGGTCATCTGCCATTTCACCCCTCATAGAAAGAACGAGCAACCATTGAGCGACAGCCTGGTCGGTTGCTCAACGGTTGAGCATTTGACCTATGAACCAAGAGGTCACCGGTTCGATTCCTGGTCAGAGCACATGCCAGGGTTTTGGGCTCAAACCCTAGTAGGGGGTGTGCAGGAGGCAGCCAATCGATGTTTCTCTCTCATTGATGTTTTTGTCTCTTTCTTCCTTTCCCTTTTTCTCTCTCTAAAATCAATAAAAACGTATTTTTTTAAAAATGCATGGAGATAGCCTAAATATACAAAATCTTTCTTTAATCTTATTAAGAGGGGGAAAAAGGAAATACCTATTTATTTTATGAAATGCCCTAAAGATCTTAATAAGAGTCAATTCGGAACATCTCTCTTGCCACCTAAGACTCTATGCGAAGGTAATACCAATGGTCAAATATCACCCCTCCCCCCCAAAATCAAAAGTACTATAAATTTTTCTTTTTTATTTTCATTGAAAAAGCTTACTCTGAGAGAGGTTAAAAAGAAACAACCAAATTGTTCTTTTCTATCCTAAAGTCTTGGTGAGATCCTTGATCTCAACAGGGACATCCCAAATGATAATACTTACAGATCCTGTTCTACTTTCTTGTCTAAAGCGTATTCCAAATCAGTAACTAGCATTTTTTGGTACAGGTCCTGCAGAGCCTGCCTGGATGTCCAGACCTCAGCTGGACCCAGCTTAGAATCTGAATAACAAAACAAAAACAGAACAGTAGACAGGTAAATAGAGAGTTAAGACCATTGTATCACACCAATGATTCCTTCCCCTCCCCATTCCCCAAAGTAAAAACCTGCTGTAAGTACAAGTATATACCATAGGTTGCTGAAGTTTTATACGACTGCATTTCAAATGACTTCCCCCTTTTGACTAATGACTAAATCTGTATGCTTCTGTATTTGTCTTTTAGCTTTAAAATAATACCATGAAATGAAAAAGGCTAAAAAAAAAAAAAAAAAAAAAAAAAGAATGGTATGCCCTTTGTTTTGGGCTTGGATGTCTACGTATTCATATCACAGGAAGCCATATCCCTCACACTAGCCACCCTCTTTGAAATGATGGACTGCCAAGTTGGTCTGTTTACTCTCACAACTATACTTCTCTTTGTCCAAAGCAGCTTTTTAAAAACATTTTTTAATCATTCTCACAATTGTCCTTATGAAATCTTCATATCAGCTCATAATCCAGCAGCTGTTTGGGCGTTCTGCTGTTCCTCCTACTCTATACATGTCAATCCAATAAAACCAGGATAGTGAGCATTATTTTAACGATTGGTAGGATGCTTGCCAAGACACTTGTGAGCAATCCATACTTGCTATTTAATGTAAATGAGGACAGACAGTGATTAAATTGCTCAAGAGCCCAAATGAGACATTGCAAAATGAAATCACAAAGTCAGGCTATTACTATACAAAATTTCAAATTGAGGCCATATTGTCTGCCAGAGTCCTAAAAGGCACATTAGCCTTCCCGATAAGTAGGCTTATGAGTGCAATAATTGACAGTGAGCTGCCTCAGTAGAACTTAATAATGGACTTTTCAATATATATTTCCAACTGCCTGTTAGGCTGTCTGGCTGCATTTAATATTTTGCTGCTGTGCAATGGCATAATCTTCACTCTTGTTTTTAGGTCTGCTATTAGTTTCTATAGCCACCATAATCCTATTCTACAAGAAGAATCTTCTGGATATTTGAGTTAATCCTCACAAGAGTTTGTTGGCTACTAAAAAAAAAAAAAAATTAGGGTCTAATATCGGCTTCCTGCTCTTATTAAGTGCTTAATGGTTAAATCAATAATATTTATACATTTTTTCAGCTCTGCTTCAATTTGTCAATGGCAGGGAAATGATTGGAAAGGGTAATTAAATCTCATCTATCAAAGAGACTACTATTTAAATGAATAGACTTAATATCTTACTGGGCAGGCATTCTTACTAAGGGTATTTAATACTTAAGATTGTACTTATAATGCTATCACAAGAGCATAACACAGTAGCTCAGAGTTGAAACTGATATCCACAGTATGGGAAATGATGACACTTATGTTAACAATAGGAAGAACTGAAGTACTATACTAAGTAAACCTATAACAAGTGTTTGGAACTTTTTTCTTCTTTTTCCCTTGAACAAGATGACAATGAGATTACCCACAAATTCTTAGAGAACATTAACCTATAATTCTACAAATTGAGAACAAGACATCGAAACAGTCCATTTCCTTTTCATTATAAATTTTGGCAGATATGCTGATTATCACAATAGTTTAACTCTTCTTTGTGGGTTTCATTGCAGAACTAAATTCCTCAAAATTAAAACAAGGTCCATTATCACATATTTCTCTTACATTTTTGGATGGCGTATGCTATTATGGAGAGCATACTTATCACTAGAGTATTCCCCTATTTCTTTATTTTGGGGTTAGAGTCATCTGCTCTGTTTAGTGACTAAGTCCAGTTATTTTTTTCAAAAACGCCTTGGCTATTATCCAAAATAAAAAAGATAAGGGATAAAAAAGGAATGTGGTGAGGCAGCTCACTCAACTTCAAACATGTCAGCAGTTTTCCTGCAAATATTTTTCTGAAGGTTTACCTATTATTCCAATTTGAGGAATTATAAATAGGAAGATAAGAACCTAATACCATAGGATATTAGTGTTTATACGGTACTAGAGGCCCAGTGCACGAATTCGTGCACCAGTGGGGTCCCTCGGCCTGGCCTGCAGGATCAGGTCGAAACCAGCTCTCTGACTACCCCTGAGGGGTCCCAGATTGGGAGAGGGTGCAGGCCAGGCCAAGGGACCCCACCGGTGCACGACTGGGGCCAGGGAGGAATGCGGGAGGTTGGCCAGTGGGGGGGAGAGGGAGGACTGTGGGAGGGTTCCAGGGCGTGTCCAGCCCCTGATCTACCAGACCCCAGCAGTAAGTTAACCTACTTGTTGGAGCATCTTTCCCCTGGTGGTCAGTGCATGTCATAGCAACCAGTTGACTGTCTGCCCCCAGTGGTCAGTGCACATCATAGCGAGCAGCTGAGTGGCCTTAGCATAACATTAGCATATTACACTTTGATTGGTTGAATGGATGACTGGACACTTAGCATATTAGGCTTTTTTTATATAGGATGTGAATTTTTTTCTGTATGTCTGAAATCATTGATAAATAGTTCATAAAAAATAAATGATTCTATGCAGTAAATTAGGTAATATTCAATCCTTTGTAGTACAGCTAATATAAAATTCTTGACTGGTCATCATCTAAGTAAGAATTCAAAATATAAAAAAATAAATATTTAAAGCAAATAAGTGCTATAAGTCATAAAGATCCCTTTGCTTAATTTAATGGTATAAAGTAAGTTCTGGAAAACAAAGGAGCAGCCACTACCTGTCATGTCAGCCTTCAGGACTTCTGCCTGCCTAAAAAGAAAAAAGAGAAGAGCAGTTAGAAACAAAGCAGGTGTACCCAGCAGAAATTAACACTACGAGTTCACAGTTAAGTGAGCTCATCTACTGCAATAAGGATGTAAGCAGCTCTATTTGTGGCACTGCAAACAGTCCCTCTGCTTTCTCATCCAGAGTAGCACTAGGTCGTGGCAAATTGATGCCATGACTTAAAAGTTTACAGGTCATCATAAACTCTTTTATTGAGTCCACTTTCTTGCTGTTTGCATATAAATCAGATAGATTTAAGATAACATTAAATGACAGTCATAAATAAAAATTTGCCCTCAATGTGTGGGGCCACGAAATCTTGTTTCTCAATTCACTAGCCACTGTAACTATTTCAAATATCCATTCCCCTCAGGCTGCTGAGTCCTGTCCCATTCCTTAGCCCAGGGGTGGGCAAACTTTTTGACTCGAGGGCCACAATGGGTTCTTAAACTGGACCGGAAGGACGGAACAAAAGCATGGATGGAGTATTTGTGTGAACTAATATAAATTCAAAGTAAACATCATTACATAAAAGGGTACGGTCTTTTTTTTTTTTTTAGTTTTATTCATTTCTAACGGGCCGGATCCAGCGGGCCATAGTTTGCCCACGGCTGCCTTAGCCTCAACTCTTTTCAGCAAAGGGTAAACCTGTACCTCAGGAAAAACAATACCCAGTTACTAAGAACTACATTCACAAAGCCCTCTTCTTCCTTCCTCTTGTTAAAACATTAGATGACTGCACCTCTTGTTTAATACCAGTAATTCCACCTAAGTATGCTCTTTCCAGCCTTTCATATGGTTACTCCCTCTCCTCTTTCAATAATTTTAAAACTTCCTTCTATTGAATATTTCCTTCTCTTAAGAATTTAAACATGCACAACAAGTCTCCCACAGATTTTAAAACCTTATGTCCCATATTCTCCTCTAAACTGCTGTTTCATTTCTCTCTCCCAAATTCTTCAAGAATTGCTGGATTCAAGAATCCAAAACTGAACTCATGACCTAGCTCAGTGATGGTGAACCTTTTGAGCTCGGCGTATCAGCATTCTGAAAAACCCTAACTGAACTCTGGTGCCGTGTCACATATAGAAATTTTTTGATATTTGCAACCATAGTAAAACAAAGATTTATATTTTTGATATTTATTTTATATATTTAAATGCCATTTAACAAAGAAAAATCAACCCGTGTGTCACCTGACACGCGTGTCATAGGTTCGCCATCACTGACCTAGCTCCACCTCATCCCTGGTTCTCTTTTTAGTGTTTTTTACCTGAGTAAATGTACCACAGCGTTTTAGTTGTGAAAGGCAGATAGATGCCTGGGAGTCACCCATCACAAAATCCTCCAAATCCCCGATAATCTATCAACTTCAGAGAATTTTACCTGCTAACTATACCGTGAATCTGCTGGCTTCCCTTTACCTCCTCCTCAGCCATTCAATCAAGTTACAACCATCCTGGAGAACTCAAAGGCACCTACCTAAGTGTTTTCTCCATTTCATTCTTGTCCCGTTTCATTCTGTTCTCCCCACTGCTGTCAGAGGGATCTTTTATAATGTAAAGCTGATCTTATCAACTACTTATTTAAAATTCATTTAATAATTTCCACTGCTCTCAGGTTAAAAACAATCATTAAAGTGTCCTACAACCTTCTATGTGCTCTACTTCTACCATGACTCTCTTCTCTCCCTCATCTCTGTGCTTAGTCCTTGGACATGTGGTTAGTATAGTAGGTGTGCTCTGCTCCCTTCAGACTCTCAGGGCATAGCATACCTCCTCACCATTTGTCTGGTTCCATACTAGTACTCATCTTTGGCTTCCTCAGAAAGCCTTACCTGAACCCTACATAGATATTCTTGTCCTATGCTCTCGAAGCACTGGTTATTTTTTCCTTCATAGTACGCATCAGATTTTAAGAATGCTCACCATCACAAGCCCTATGCCTACTAGCACAGCTGCCTAGCACACAGTGGGCATTCAATAAATATTTTGTAAGTGAAGAAAGGGAAAAAAAATAAATCACTTCATATACTCTATTTAAGCAGGTAAGTACATAAACTTAAGAGATTTCCATTTCTAAAAATAAAATATGACATAAAGCCAGAGAATATTCAGAGATTCTAAAAAATTTACTAAAATTATTCATTTACATAATTTATTAGGTATTTAATATCAATTATGAATTTTAGTTTTATCAAAATGTAACATAAACCTTTTTATTTTCTTAGCCTTTAAAAAGACAGGTTTTTTAAAATTACATTTTCAAACAATGGAATCATAATACAGGGCTATAGTGTTAACCACATATGAGAACTATCAGTATAAATAGACAATACTAAATAAACAGCTACACTTAGTCCTAAAATATAACATCACATCAAATTTCTTTATCCACACAGCCTAGCTTCACTATTTGCTTTGGATATTAAACTTTTGCCATTAAAACTTTTTTCTCCACAGGTGGTTGGCTTATGCCCTAACAAAATACATATCCTATCCCTATGACTGTCACAATAGCCTCCTCTCCTCCCCCTGAAACCCCATAGGAGTACTAATTTATGAACTTTATACTGAAAAGGTTGGTGCTAATTATGAATTAGCACTGAAAAGGATGATGTATTTTACTATACTTCCATATGTTAGCTAAAAGTTCATACATGTACAAGATAACTTATACTTAGGATCATGTGCCTAAAGGTTGCTTTTTCATTCCAAACAAGATTTGCTTGTAAAGATGAACAATATCATTTCAGTATGCTAACAACTTCCAGTCAAACAAAGATTATATTGAACATATATAACAAGAACTATTTACAAATAATCTGCTTCTCTTATAGGCTGTCAGTAAAAGGAGATCTATAATTCCAAGAGATGCTGATCCAGGCTTCCAGTGAACTTCACACTATATTTTTATATAATGTAATCTGTCCAAGGAGAACTGTAAAAGTAAAAAATTCAAGCACTAACAAAAGTGAGAACATGGTATAAAACTCTGATGTAAATGTTAAAATCATTCTGAAATCCCAGGAATTCTGATTCCTCAGTTGACAAGAGTAGAGGTTCTCACTCTGTGCAGAGTTCTTTACTAGGTTCTAGAAGAGACACAAGCTAATGACTAAAATAGTCTTGCTAAACTGAAATGATGAAAAGAAAGCTTAATGAAAAAATATAGCCCCCCTCGGAGATAGCTACTATTAATTTCCAATCTATAAACAAAGAAACTGAAGCTCTGAAATGTAAAACAAATTTGTCCAGCATCACAAAGCAATTAGGCACAATTAAGTGTAATCTAGTTATTTGTGACACCAAAGTCCAAGTTACTTCTATTTCTTTCAAATTAGAATAAAAATTCTGTAACATAAAAAGCTGACATAGACTTATCTAGTTTCAGTTTTGTACTGTCAACTAAACACTAACATTTAAGTCAACTAGCTTATATGAAAACTAGAGGCCCAATGCATGAAATCCGTGCAAAAGTAAGCCTTCTTTCCCCCAGCTGCCAGCACCAGCTTTCCTCTGGCACCTGGGACCCGGGCTTTCCTCCGGCTGCCGTCAGCTGGCACCCCGAGATCAGGGCTTCCCTCACAGCCCCGGCTTCATCCAGGATGTCTGGTCTAACTAGCATATTATGCTTTTATTATTATAGATATCTATTCACATTAGGAAATAAATATCTAAGTTTTAATCAGAAGAACTACAAGTAAAACTCATATTCTAGTGCAGTCGTCAGCCTTGGGTGAAAGTTGCATCTATTTCACCCTGCATCTATTTTTTGTAAATAAATGTTACTGGAACATAGCCCTGTCCATTCATTTACATACTGTCTATGGCTGCTTTCTGCTACAAGGGCAGAATTGAGTAGTGGAGACAAAGACCAAACGGCCCACCAAGCCTAAAACATTTATCTGGCCCGTCACAGAAAAAGTTTGCCTCTCCTGCTCTAGGGATTACTTGATAAAAGTTTGCCTCTCCTGCTCTAGAGAAGTAAGATATCTGTAAGTTCCCACACCAAATAGTTTTCCTACACGAGGAATCATCAATAATAGCTTCCTCAGAGCAAAGAAATCTTTTTATTAGTTAATATTGTAATCCTGTGGCAAAGAGAACTGTTAAAAAAGTATATAATAGTTCAGAAAGTTAGTGTTTACAGGCCATGTCATATTTTTTATTAAATTAATTTGCGAATTGTTTTTTGTTGTTGTGTTTTTTTAAAAATATATTTTAATTGATGCCAGAGAAGGTGGGGGGATGAAGGGAGGGAGAAACATCAATGATGAGAATCATTAGTTGGCTGCCTCCTACATGCCACTGGGGATCGAGCCCAACCAGGTTAGGTTTATATACTACTAGAGGCCCGGTGCACAATTCATGCACCAGTGGGGTCCCTCTGCCTGGCCTATGGGATCAGGCCGAAATCAGCTCTCTGACATCCCCCAAGGGGTCCCAGATTGTGAGAGGGCGCAGGCCAGGCCAAGGGATCCCACCAGTGCACCATCAGGGCCAGGAGAGGGACACGGGAGGTTGGCCAGCCCGGGAGGACCACGGGAGGGCTCCAGGGTATGTCCGGTTCCTCTTGTTCAGTCTCGATCGGCCAGACCCTAGCAGCAAGCTAATCTATCAGTCGAAGTGTCTGCGCCCTGGTGGTAAGTGCATGTCATAGCGAGTGGTTGAGCAGCCTTAGCATATCATTAGCATATTATGCTTTGATTGTTGAACAGACAACCAGACACTTAACATATTAGGCTTTTATCATATAGGATTATCCACTTATTCTTCCTTTTTACTGTGTACCAAATATATCCATTTAGGCAGGTGAGAAAAAAGGTTAAACTAAGAATTGTTTATATCACAAGTATTAGTTTTCTTTTTTTACAGTGCATAATATACAAGAAACCAAGTCAACAGATATGTGATCTTATACCAACTTTCATAAAGATTAGCACAAAATTGGTTATTTGATTATATTTTACTTTATAAAGAAAA